GAGGGAGGGAGGGAGAAAGAGAGGGAGGGAGGGAAGGAAAGAAGCAAACAAGCAAGGAAAGAAGGAAGGAGACAGAAGCGAAGGAAGGAGGGAAGGAAGGGAGACAAGAGAGAGGGAAGGAAGGAAGGAAAGAAGGAAGGAAGGAAGGAAGGAGACAGAAGCGAAGGAGGGAGGGAGGGAAGACAGAAGTGAGGGAGGGAGGGAGAAAGGGAGGGAGGGAAGGAAAGAAGCAAGCAAGGAAAGAAGGAAGGAGACAGAAGCGAAGGAGGGAGGGAAGGAAAGAAGGGAGACAAGAGAGAGGGAAGGAAGGAAGGAAGGAAGGAAGGAAGGAAGGAAGGAAGGAGAGAGAAGGGAGGGTGGAAGGAAGGAGACAGAAGCGAAGGAGGGCGGGAAGGAAGGAAGGGAGACAGGAGAGAGGGAAGGAAGGAAGGAAGGAAGGAAGGAAGGAAGGAAGGAAGGAAAGAAAGAAAAATAAAATCAGGCTTTTTTCCCGCTCTTCAGACCTTTTCCGTTGACCTCAAGCGTCCTGCAAGGCGAAGCTATCTGGGCTGGGGGGGGGGGCTGCAGAAGCTTCCCAGCTTTTCCAAAGCAAAAGCCACGGAAGAGGCCTTAATCCCACCCCCCCACCCACCCCCCTGCAGTCCGGGCCCTTTGCAGATGCCAAGCCAAGCAGCAGCCAGAGCAGGGAGCGGGGGGGGGGGGGAGAAGCCAGCTGCCCCCCACCCCGGCAAGATTTCAGGGGGAAAAGGGAATAAACCGGGGCCTTTTCCCTCCACTGCCCCCCACCCACCCCTGGGGGGCCCACCCTGGGCTCCTGGAGGGCCAGATCTGGGAGGGGGGGGCGCTAATCTTTAGGGATGGAATTTATATAGCCGCCCATCTCACACAAGAAGAAGTGATCCTGGGTGGTGGATCTGGGAACACAAAGGACAGGGGGGCCCCCCCCTCCAGAAGGACCCCTCCTCAATTTAAAGAATTAGATTATCGGCTGCGTCATACTTTCTTTCCTTCCTTCTTTCCTCCCCTTCCCCTTTTCCTTCCTTCTTCCATCCATCCTCCCTCCCTTCCTCTTTTGGTTTCTTCCTTCTTTTTTCTGTCTCCTTCCTTCTTTCCTTCCTCTCTCCCTTCTTTTCCTTCCTTCCATCCATCTCCCTTTTTTTCTTTCCTCTCTTTTCTCCGTCTCCTTCCTTCCCTTAGTCCCTCCTTCCCTTCCCTCATTTTCTCCTTCCATCATCCGTCGTCCCTTCCTTTTCCTTTCGTCCCTCCCTTTTTTATTTCCCCCTTTCCTCTTTCCTTTTTTCTTCAAAATCAATCTTCCTTGTTTTCCTTCCTTCCCTTCCTTTCCTCCTTCCATCCATCTCTCACTCCCTTTTTTCTTTCCTCTTTTCTCCATTTTCCTTCCCTTATTCCCTCCTTCCTTCCTCATTTACTCCTTCCATCCATCCCTCTTTTCCTTTCGTCCCTCCCTTACTTTTCTATTTCTCCCTTTCCTTTCCCTTTTTCCGTTCCTCTTTTCTTTTTTCCCTTTCCCTTTCTCTTCAAAACCAATCTTCCTTCCTTCCTTCTTTCCTCTCACTTCATTCTCATTTTCCTTCCTTCCTTCTCATTTTCCTTTTCCTTCCTTCCTTCCTTCTCATTTTCCTTCCTTCCTTCTTTCTTTCCTATCTTCCTTTCTTCTCATTTTCCTTCCTTCCTTCCTCCCTTATTATATTCCTTCCTCCCTTCTCATTCCTTCTTTCCTTCCTTCCTTCATTCTTCCTATCTTCCTTCCTTCTTTACTATCTTCCTTCCTTCCTTCTCTTTCCTTCCTTCCTATCTTCCTTCCTTCTCATTTTCCTTCCTTCCTTCTCTTTCCTTCCTTCCTATCTTCCTTCCTTCTCATTTTCCTTCCTTCCTTCCTTCCTATCTTCCTTCTCATTTTCCTTCCTTCCTTCCTTCCTTCTTTCCTATCTTCCTTTCTTCTCATTTTCCTTCCTTCCTCCCTTACTATATTCCTTCCTCATTTTCCTTCCTTCCTTCCTTCCTTCCTTCCTTCCTTTCCTCCTTCATTCCTTCATTCATTCTTCCTATCTTCCTTCCTTCTCATTTTTTTCCTTCCTTCCTTCCTTCCTTCCTTTCCTTCCTTCCTTCTCATTTTTTCCCTTCCTTCCTTCTTTACTATCTTCCTTCCTTCCCTCCCTCCCTCCCTGCCTGGGGAGGCCTAGCCTTAAAGTGGGGGGTGGGGGGTCCGCCTTACTTGTCTGTCTGGGGCGGCCACGTTCTTGCGCTCCTGGCCCCAGAGGTCTCCATGCAGGGGGTTCCATAGTCCAGGCTTAGGCAGCTGGTAGTGGGGATTGCCGGGGGCTCCGGGACCGGACAGGTGCTGGCCCACCCCGTTAGCACCGGTCTGCTCCCCGACAGGCGTTCCCAGAGAGAGAGCGAGAGGAGAGGGTCACAGCCTCCAAAGCCCCACAGGCCCCTCCCGCCACGCTGCCCCCACCTCCTTCCCCATCGGGGGGGGGAGGAAAAGGGTTGACCTACAGATCCATTTCTCCCCCCTTTAAAAAATAAAAATAAAAAAAAAAGCCAGCAGCCACCCAAGCAGCAGACCAAAGCAGCGTCCGGAAAGGGCGGGAGGCCGTTAAGCATGCGCAGAGTGCCAGCCACAGGGGCTTTGCTACCTGGTCGGGACTGGTGCTCCTCCGCCTCTTCATGGGCGCCGGCATCTCTTCGCCGTGGGCCGGGTGGGCCGGGTGCTGGACCGGCGGGATGGGCTGGACCACGGGGGGCTCCATGGGGGGGCCGGGCCGCTTGAGCTGGGGGTTCCGCTTGGCCGAGAAATTCCTTTTCTGGGGAAGCGAACGCAAGAGGATTCAGTTTTTCTGCTAAAAACCCAACGCAGAAGCCTTTCCACGAAAACAAGACACCTCCAGGGAAGATCTAGGACGGGGTGGGGTGGGGGGGTGTCCAATCTTGACAGCTTTCAGGCCTGTGGACTTCAACTCCCAGAATCCCCCAGCCAGCCATCTTGACGGGGGAATTCTGGGAGTTGAAGAAGCCCATGCATCTTATAGTTGCTAAGGTTGAAAAACACTATTCTAGGACAGGGGTCTCCAAATTTGCCAGCTTTAAGACCTGTGGACTTCAACTCCCAGAATCCCCCAGCCAGCCATCTTGATTGGAAAATTCTGGGAGTTGAAGAAGCCCATGCGTCTTAAAAAGTTGCTGTTCTAGGACAAGGGTTTCCAAACTTGGCGATTTTAAGACGTGTGGACTTCAACTCCCAGAATCCCCCAGCCAGTTCAATCTTAGCGGTTTTAAGACCTGTGGACTTCAACTCCCAGAATCCCCCAGCCAGCCATCTTGATTGGGAAATTCTGGGAGTTGAAGAAGCCCATGCGTCTTAAAAAGTTGCTGTTCTAGGACAAGGGTTTCCAAACTTGGCGATTTTAAGACGTGTGGACTTCAACTCCCAGAATCCCCCAGCCAGTTCAACCTTAGCGATTTTAAGACCTGTGGACTTCAACTCCCAGAATCCCCCAGCCAGTTCAACCTTAGCAATTTTAAGACCTGTGGACTTCAACTCCCAGAATCCCCCAGCCAGCCATCTTGACTGGGGAATTCTGGGAGTTGAAGTCCACATCTCTTAAAAGTTTCCCCGGGTGAAAAAACACTATTCTAGGACAAGGGTCTCCAAATTTGCCAGCTTTAAGACATGGGTGGATTTCAACTCCCAGAATCCCCCAGCCAGCAACGGAAAATTGGGGCTCCATCCTAGTCGTATCCAAGATTAAGTGAACCGTTTTGCAATTCCTTGGAGGAATCATTTTAAAGAGGATGAAAAAAGGAAAAAAAAAAACCATTTTAGAAAGTTTGAAAAAAGATCCAGGAATGGGGAGGGGAAAAAAAAAACCCAGAAAAAAAGATTAAGGTTGCATTTTTCCCTTCCTTTTTTCCGCTGGGGACCTGTTTCTATGCTGCCTGTCATAACCTTAAAACTGCTCATTAAACATTGGAAAAAGAGCATTTGTGGAAACTCTGGACGTGGGGAAGTGAGGAATTTAGAGACGGCCGGTTCAGAATAATAACAGAACAACGGAAGGGGACCTCGGAGGTCATCTAGTCCAACCCCCTGCTCAGGCAGGAAACTCTATACCATTCCAGACAAACGGCTCTCCAATCTCATCCAATCAGTTCAGGAGAGTTTCAGCCATTTTCAATTTTTAAAAAAAAATAGATTTTTTTTTTAAAAGTTACACAGGACTCCTGGAAAAACCTACTCCTCTTTTACTTTCCTTACTTAATAGCCAGAAAAAAGGCAATCTTTCCCCAGTGAGCAATTTGCCAAAAAACTTTTGGAAACAGTGATTGACACAGTGCTGGGGAACAAGGAAAATTGGTCCTAAAGATTTGTTAAGGTGGGGGGGAATTTATTGAATGAATCATATATATATATATTTTTTAAAAATGTTAACAGAAACCCCAAGTGTTCTTTTAAACCAGGGGTCTTCAAACTTGGCCCTTTGATGACTTGTGGACTTCAACTCCCAGAATTCCTCAGCCAGGCATACTGGCTGAGGAATTCTGGGAGTTGAAGTCTACAAGTCATCAAAGGTCATAGTTTCCTCACGCTGGCTGAGGAATTCTGGGAGTTGAAGTCTACAAGTCATCAAAGGTCATAGTTTCCTCACGCTGGCCGAGGAATTCTGGGAGTTGAAGTCTACAAGTCATCAAAGGTCATAGTTTCCTCACGCTGGCTGAGGAATTCTGGGAGTTGAAGTCTACAAGTCATCAAAGGTCATAGTTTCCTCACAGTGGCTGAGGAATTCTGGGAGTTGAAGTCCACAAGTCATCAAAGGGTCATAGTTTCCTCACGCTGGCTGAGGAATTCTGGGAGTTGAAGTCTACAAGTCATCAAAGGGCCATAGTTCCCTCACGCTGGCTGAGGAATTCTGGGAGTTGAAGTCCACAAGTCATCAGAGGGTCATAGTTCCCTCACGCTGGCTGAGGAATTCTGGGAGTTGAAGTCCACAAGTCATCCAAGGGTCATAGTTCCCTCACGCTGGCTGAGGAATTCTGGGAGTTGAAGTCCACAAGTCATCCAAGGGTCATAGTTCCCTCACGCTGGCCGAGGAATTCTGGGAGTTGAAGTCCACAAGTCATCAAAGGGCCAAGTTTGAAGACCCCTGCTTGTGGACTTCAACTCCCAGAATTCCTCAGCCAGCCTCCATTTTGTTTGTTAGATTTAAGACAGGGGTCTTCCAACTTGGCCCTTTGATGACTTGTGGACTTCAACTGCCAGAATTCCTCAGCCATCATGCCTGGCTGAGGAATTCTGGGAGTTGGAAGTCCACAAGCAGGGGTTGTGGGGACGGGGCAAAAACCTCTTACCTCAAGATGTAAAAGGTTCCAGACTTGCTGTAAGGGGGGTAAAACTTTGTGCCGGTGATGAGATGAGCCCCCCGAATGGAAATTCCACAGCTGAGCCTAAAAAAGGGGGGAAAGGTGGGGTGGAGGAAGAAGAGACAAAAGACGTTTTTTTAAAAAAAAATGTTAAAGCTTTTCTTCAAGGAGTTTGGGAAACGGAAAAGTGGCAGTATCTCCTGGTGGTCTCCCATCCGAACCAACCAACCAACCAGGCCAGACTGGCTTTTGAACCTGGGGTAAGGCTGGTTAGGAAAAGGCTGAGAAACTCCCCCTTTCTTTGTCTTATCCAACACATCCGGGGCAATTTGGTGTAGTTAAGGCAACAAGTGGGAAACCGGGAGGCAGTGAATTCTAGTTCTCTCTTAGGCACAAAAGCCAACTGGGTGACTTTGGGCCAATCACCAGGAGACGGTGAGTTCTAGTCCTGCCTTAGGCATAAAAGCTGTCTGGATGACTTTCAGGCCAATCACCAGGAGACTGGGAGTTCTAGTACACCTTAGGGAAGCAAGCCAAATGAGTGACTTTGAGCCAATCACCAGGAGACGGTGAGTTCTAGTCCCACCTTAAACATCAAAGCTAGCTGGGTGACTTTGGGCCAATCGCCAGGAGACGGTGAGTTCTAGTCCCACCTTAAACATCAAAGCTAGCTGGGTGACTTTGGGCCAATCGCCAGGAGATGGTGAGTTCTAGTCCCACCTTAAACATCAAAGCTAGCTGGGTGACTTTGGGCCAATCACCAG